CGCGTAAATGAAATCTGCCAGTACAATAAAAATAGATATCTCGTAAAGTGACAAGGAAACCGTATGAAAATACCATCTAAACAAAGACATAATTTAGTGCGTACAAGAAGTGCTGCATAAATTGAGAGCTGGTTGTAATTTTAATGGCAATAAGTAATGCAATAAATTACTTCATTTCAGGCATGAAAAAGTACTGTGAAACGTACAAAAATTCAATTTATGATGTAAGTATGACATTCGGTCCAGTTCCAAAATTTGAAGGTGAGATGGCAGAAAAGATTAGCAATGAATTAAATGAGATGTGTCCGCTAGAAAAGCTTCAAGAAAGACGTGCATGGAGAGATGAAGCTTTGACCAAGTTATCCTTATTAAAGAAAGAATTGAATAATAAGTAAAAATATTCATAGCATAGCAATATATGTTAAAACTGAGCTCGTTGTATATTAACTAATAAAGTAAAATGAGTATGTGTATGTGTGTTTAAAAGCTAATTCATGTTATTCGTTTTTTATTAATACCTGTTGATATATAGATACATATTAAAATAATAGAATGTGTATAATACATAATACTATATAAAATAACAATATGAAATAGTAAAATAGTAGAATGAATAAAAGAGTTTATAGTTTTCAACACTAATACTATAATAATAATTAATATGTATTTGTCCGGTAAATATGTATTTATCATGCTATGCATAGCATGTATGCGTAGCATATGCCAGCATGGAACCAAACAGAGCAGATCCTTAACTTTATAGGTTCTTGTATATGCTAGCGCGGAAGTTCAGCATTTGTCCGTATGATGGAGCACCTGTATTATGACACACTTAGAACATGGGCGCAAGTACTCTCATTTTCTTTTTCGTCATATAAACAGATCTCGTCGGATTATTAGATCACAGTTAGACACAGATCTGGAAATCCCAGTGAAGAGGTAAGGACGAGATAATCTTACGCATCGGAAAATGTTTCTGAAGTAAGACGCTTTAATCGATTTGTTAGGCTTTGTCATGCAGCGCCACTTGTGTCTGCAACTTGCAGTATGATCAATTTTGCAGTTGATTCTATCCTATTATATAAATCAACATTTTTTTAAACATTCTTCTGTATCACATGAAATTTATTCTAAATACACTGAAAAAATTTATGAGCAGTAATTTGATTTACATTCTTTGCTTTCGGTGGTAAGGATGGCGAAGGTGGCGTTAAATGCAAAAGTTTAACGCTATGACCAGCGGCCAATTTCTAAAGCATTTACGACCGTATGCAGAACGATGCCCGGTGTTGTCGCCATATTGATCTTTTTTGGCTTCATTTGACAGATGCTTGCTTTATGTTTTTGACAGTTTTTGGTATAGAAGTGTTCAGACTGATAACTTTGGTTTAGATTAGTATATGTATGTGACCCTAACTATGGCTACATCAAACTGTACGGATAATATCAAATATATTTATCAATTGCCATTTTTTGCACGATCGGAGATTTGTAAAATACTTAATCAAAATGATAAGTGGGAAGAACTTGCTGGTAAGTTCCAATAATATAATTCTAATAATTAAAATTGTATTTAGTATAATTTAGCAATACTTCATAAAAGGTTCTAGTAAAAAGCTTAACATTAAATGGGAATTCATTTAGGAACATGGATGAAATATGATGTATTGACAATACAGAGTTTGCGAAAAGAAAAAAATCCAACAGATGAATTACTAACAATGTGGGGTCACTATAATCATACAATATTGGAATTGTTTGTGCTGTTATCTAGAATGCAGCATTATCAATCTATGGTACCACTGAAATCATTTGTCGAAGAGAAATTTCATAAATTACTTTATAATGGAGAAGGAAATCTTCATAGAATACTTGGGAAACGCTTGAATAAAAACACAAAAGATTTGAAGATTGGAACACAGAATTTTAATCAAATTGCACCACCAGAACCAAATCTGCCAAAGATTATTGTAGAGAAAAATACTAAGGAGGAATCCCATAAAATTTTAAATGAACCTATGCAAGCCTTGCATATTGGAGTTGTTCCAAGTAATTCTAACAACTTACTTGTTGCTTCTCTAGCAGCAGCAAATCCTGCACTAGGTTCTTTACAACGTACTCCAACTAGTGGAAGAAAAGATAATGATGCTATCATTTTCTCAGCAGAAGCAGCTATACCTCATGTTCCTTATAATGAACTAAGTATAGCTACCAATGAATGGAACTTATATAATATATTAGGGAGAGGTGGCTTTGGGACTGTGTATAGAGGTAATCAGAATAGAAGCAATAAATTTCTTAATATATATTAATTTCATCTAAATAAACTATTATATCTTTGTTATATAGGCACATGGAAAAATACAGCTGTAGCTATTAAGAAAATAGAAAAGAGAGGGGCAGACTCTGATGAAAGTCATCAACTTCAACTTCAACAATCCTTTAGAGAAATTAAAATTTTAAATTCTTGTAGGCATGAAAATATATTACCACTATATGCTTATAGTTTAGATGGCAAACTACCTTGTATTGTTTATCAGCTTATGAAAAATGGATCTTTAGAAGACCGGTTATTGTTAAAACAGAAAAGTCAACCATTATCTTGGATCCAGCGTCATGAAATAGCTAAAGGAGCTGCATGTGGTTTACAATATTTGCACACAGTCGGAGAAAAGCCCTTGATACATGGTGATATAAAGAGTGCTAATATTTTGCTTGATAAAAATTTGGAACCTAGAATTGGTGATTTTGGTTTAGCGAGAGAAGGTCCTGAAAGAGATTCTATGGAAGTAAGTTCTATTCTAATGATAATATTATTGAAAAAATGTATGAAATATCTTGTTATTTATTATTATTATTTGTTTTGTTATTATTTTCATTTCAGGTAAGCAAAATTCACGGCACTAGACCATATCTCCCAGAAGAATTTTTACATGGACGAAAATTATCTACGAAAGTCGATACATACAGCTATGGTATAGTTTTGTTTGAACTAGCTACTGGTTTACCAGCTTATGATAAATCTAGGTTGGGCAATAGGTTTTTAAAAGATTTTATTGATAGTTGGGAAGACAAAGATCTCCCTTTGCTAATAGATAAAAAAGCAGGTGAGAAAGACAAACAGGTTTACAACAACCTAATGATTTTGGGAAAGTGGTGTACTAATCGTATGGCACAAAATAGACCTGAAATGGATTATGTATTCAAAAAACTAAATGATTTATGATTCGATCACGCTTTTATTTTTTATGTAAATTGTATGAGAATTTTACATGTTTCGATGTGAATATCTCGTAAATTGTATATATTTAACATTATAGTATAGAAATTGGCAATATATAATGTTTAAGATATGTAACATTCTCATAGAATTGTAGTATATAATTTATGGTTTTGTTACAATATAAACATGTGTATGTAACAAATTATTACCAATTCCTAAGGAATCTTTGTAATTGTATGCTGTGTAATACTTTTGTTATAATTATATTAATATTTTTATTCTGTTATAAAAATATATATATATTTTTATATAGATTTTATATGTAATAACAATATTTTTAGAGGAAATAAAATTTTGCAAATGATGAATATACAAAAGACATTTTATTTCAATTATCTATACTATGTAATAAAATAATAGATAATTTATCACAGGTACTGAGTAAATAAATTTTACGTTATGTGTTTTCAATAAAAATTTCATTGCAAGAGATGAAGGAGAATTAAAAGAGAAATTATAGAGAGTAATCATATAACGAAACGATTGTAATATTTATGGTTCATCATAAACAGGCATATTTAGCAATACATGTTTTAAGGAATATATAGCAAATACAACTTCATTTTTACAAAGAGAGTTTACATGCTATATATATATATATATATATATATATATATGTATTGCTTATTTTTTAAGTAAAATATCTTAACAAATCTGAATACGTATTTAAATTATTGCCGTTATCAAAGGTGATTTTATTTTTCAAATTATAAAAATAGAAGTTAAAATTATCTTAAGTATATCGTATGATAAACTTAATTCCAATTTCAGTTTAGAAATATCATTAAATAGATGAAATCGCGGAAAATATAAAAAAATTTGGGAATTAATACGTTAGACAAAATTAGAATATATTTGTGCGTCCTAAATATAATTACTTAATAACTGATAAATATAGTCCAGTAGTATAATACATAATTAATTTTTTACAATAATTAAAAATTATAGCTAGCATAATATTTTCTACGAGAAGAGAATGTTGTATTGAAATACACATTAAATTCGTTTTACACAAGTAGTAAAGCTAGGTACTTCCGATGGTGTAAATCGAAACGGAACAAAGTGATAGCTCTCGTAGTGATTAATGTTTCAATTAAAATACTGAATACAGGAATAATAATATGTAAGTGATTTATTATATTTGAATGTTTCCTTCTTGACATTAAGTATAAAAGAATATTATATACAACAACAATTTTTTTGCGAACGAATTCCATCAATCGAATCGGTTTTTTTACAAGTATACAAATGTCATACGTTATATTTTTCTTTTTATACATTACCAGAATATATTCATTATTTTATATTCGGCAGATTTATATTATTAGTTATGTTACATATTGGTAACATATGTATATATAAGTATATAAATCCAATATGTAACAAATAAAATACTGTAATAAAGTTTCTATATGTATACATGTGATAGAAGAAATATTATTACAATATTATTTATAACGTACGTTTAATTATATGTAACGAAATATCAAATGCATTCCGTGGTACATCAAAAGAGAGCGTAAATTACTAAATGAATAAAAGCATGCAACGATAATATTCTGTTAGAATAATATCGATCCATATCGAGAATATTTTTAGCGCAAAACCCTGAATGTGTACTGTAACGTAGAATACCTTTTGCCGTATTCTGAGTCAATCAAAGTATATAATAGAGAGCGTTGGTGCATTTTCCACTCATAGGAAAAAAAAACGAATATTATTATCTAATGTTAAAGTATATTTAGTTATATTAAAATAAATTTGAGCATCGTACACGAGTACTTTTATAATGTTTGGTTAGTCAGTTTTTGATAGCCGATAAAATTTGTATCGTTGTGTATTGACCATAGTGTAATGGTACTCGTAAATCGTAGCTATCTCTCCTGTCTACCGGAAGTGATTGTTGTTGCTGTTTGGTGGTCCACAATGTGCTTATCAATAATACGAACATCGTCACCCCTGCGATAGCCAATAACCATATTAATACCTCCTGCATTATTGGTCCTACTTGAAGCAGCAATCTCACGAGGAACAACAAGTCACTGGGTACTTGAGGTATTACCTGCAAATAAATTTATGAAAATATAAGTTTAAGACATTATGGTTGCTTGTAATTAGAATTGTTATAACTTTCCAATTTTAAATATGTATTTTTCGAAAAATGATTATGACTAGCGTAATATATATTTGTAGCGTAATTAATATATTAAACATTATATGTTCGTATTGAATAGACTTCGAAGCACTTGAAACCTGAATGAACATTTGTTCAATGCTATTTAGGGTTACATCTCACAATACTCATACATATCCTACTCTCATTTTATTACCACGCTTAAGTATATATAGAGAAAATGTTATCGGACAATGTGTTAAACAGGTTTATAAAAGAGACGATTATTTGTGGTAGTATTAAGAATGTTGATCTGTCGACATTAAAGGTAGATTAAAGTAGATTAGGTAGAGCTTCATTCTACATGCCCATTGTTAATTACGAACGGTTTTACGAGCATGTTAGATGTAAAAATCTGAATGAAGAATACTCACCAGGTCACTCCAGAATAATGGTATTACTAAGTTATTAAAAATTTCAATCTGTGAATTGTACTGAACAGGATGCATAACAAGATTGATCTGTACTTTTGAGTTTACTTTCATCGGGAAGCCGATTGTCTATGAAGAAAAATGAGAAACATATGTTCTGTTAATCATCGATTCTCAATAATAAAATTTGAATTTTGAATTCGGTTTTTCTATTATTGAAAATTATTCAATGGATTTAATTGCTTTGTTGATTTTTAATGGTTATTAATACCAATCTTACGAGCACATTAAACATTATCGTTGTTCAATTAGATAACTAATAGATCGCTTTCGAATATTTACGTTATTCTCGCATATTATGGCTTTACTTGTGAAACACGGCGTAACACTTTCGTTAAGGAGAATGTGCTTTTGATAAAAGTTGCTCAAGCAGTAGCCAGCCTCGCAATACTTACATAAATTACGAAGCAAATAATAAAATCAAAGAAAGAAGCTACGTTACGTATCTTAAAACGATCATAATTGGCGAATAATTCCTCGCAAATGTTAATAAGCTAGTTGCTTAGTATTGTATTTACCGGTTCTAGAATTATCTTCGTGGTGTGTTTTTCTGGATCTGGATTAATACCTTCGATATTCTCCTGTAAACTGGGATCGGCGTGAAGAAAATGCGGTAAAGACATCGCTGCAGGGATACCTTAAATAAGTAAGATACCTTAATAACAAGTAATTTTATATATCTGTATTAGTTATTACGTTTCAATCAACGTTATAAAGAAAAAGCACTATAAAATATCTTGATTTCGATGGAAATTTCTAAGTTTTCTAACCTTTTAAATTTGTTAAGAAAGGGTATAAAAATTGTACTTAAGAAAGTTGGTTATCAGTTTCAAAAACAGTATAACAGCTACGTTCAAGAAACGATTAGTCTAATATTGTTTTATAGAAATGTTTGGTAGACACGTGGTCTAACACTCTGCATTATATGCGCAAAGTTCAGCTTTTGACATTTAATGTTAGAGTCTGGCCGATGACGTTACGCTCTCAGGTAGAAACTTTGCTATTCTGATATTTAGTCGGCGAGTCTGATTCGTGCAAGAACTTATATCATCCAACAAGCCAACGTATGGTGAGCTAGAATTGGTAAGAAATCTAATATCGCTAAGTATTCATCAGTTAATAAGAGATACGTACTGTAATAACACGGCGTCATATCAGATAGTCCTTTCTTTAAGCATTTTCCTTTTTTCTTACAATAACACGTATTATCCGGATTTCCATCAGGAGTATCTAAGAAATTGTCTGACATGCTGTAAAGATAGCCACCTAGACCGTTTTCTGCTACCACTTCCTCTTTGAAAACAATAGGTATCGTTCTGCAGAACGCTTTCCTGAATATTCTGAATGCAGCACGTTTGTCTAGATATGCTGGGAATAATTCTCCTTCGGTGCTTCCTCTAATGAGATTACAAATAGTATTCCTGTAATATGAAGTGTTTGCGATAATATTCAATTCTTCCACTTAACTTTTTATTAATTAATTTTTGTTGTTTTTCCTCTCCACTTACTCTGGATATGTTTCGTTTCCATTATCTTCTCGATATCCCCACTGTGACATTCCTGGACTGCCGTTGTATAATTGAATACTTAAATAACGTCCTTCTTCCTCGGTCATATTCTCATTGTGCCCGACATTCATGAGCACGACGTTGTTTCCTTCGTCATACATCTAAAAAAGTTGTTAATAAATGCTTTTCGTGAATGCACTTTGATCATCGATCAATCGCATTTTCGATATAAATGATATAATTTCACAGTTAATATAAATTTCAAACGCAAAAGCGTGAAAAATTGCGATTAAAGGTATAACAAAATGTTTAATCGCTTCTTAAAATATCGATAAACGTAATTCGAAAGAAGAAAAATGGATATTATTAAGAAATAGTATCCATTTTCTAGCATTCCCGTTGCAAATTGACAATAAACGATTAAGTTACTGGTGGAAATATTAATATTGAAGTAAGCGGAAACATCATAGATCATAGAATTGTCTTTAATTATATCTTGGTGGGTTGACATTTCTCACATATTTTCTAACGATAAGGAAAACACACGCGAATAACTGTTTGTATATAAGTGAGAAATCATGCCAACGTGAATAAGAACTTATACGAAGACTTATACGAAGTCGGTTATTATAAAACGTGCATTGAACTTGACATGATATATGATTTGCGCTTGTTACTATATATTATGCAATTATATCGACTTATTCGAAAAAAAGCGAGATTCTTGAAATGTATTGTGCACCACCATATGACGAAAAAAGAATGGGACAAGATACATATATTAAAAACATAACTTTCTGTTGCTGAATTCTCATATGCTATTTAAACTATTCTACAATTTGAAATGATATATTTCTATATTAGTTAAAACTTATTAATTACTAATATTTTTAATTGATCAAATAAAATCATTTTAAAAATTTTATTCTATTAAAAATAGAATTTTATGTCTAATAAGATGATATTTTAATCATTTATAAGATATTTTTATAATTGGATATAAAAATATCCATGATATAAATTAAGTAGTTTTAAAAGTCAACGAGATTAACGATAAAGAATAACTTCCGATCAAATTCATTCGCTGAACATACACTAGGACAACCTGTTCATGTTTACTAATATATAGTTGTTTTTTGTGCAGTTAAAAGTTGTTGACACTAACCTCGTGAACCATGAAATGCATGTTTGCACAAACAGTGAAAGGAGCAACGGCTAGAAATAATTGCGTAAACCTTCGGTAATTTGGCGTATTATACTTGCAATATGGTGCACATGTGTATATCTGATATCGCATTTGACTCATGTATTTGTGTATGTATATATATATATAATGTTATATTTTTCACACAATCGTTAAATCGCATGGAGCTTGTATGTGTAATTGACGGTTGGAAGGTGTTGATGTGATCGTGTATATGAGAGTTCTGCAACAAAAAGCTTGAAATGATTCGATCGATTCATATACAGACGAAGTTAGTTACTTGTGTCAATAACCGGTATATTATTTATTTAATTTTTTTCGTCGCTAATTTATCTCATACGCAATACGATATTGGAATTGACGCATTTGCGTCAAGTTAATCTACTCATGTTGATGGTGTTTGCAATTAATTATTGCAATCTTGTTTACAAAATTGCCCGTCTTAAATTGTTTGCAGTTTAAATAGTTTATATTTCAGATATGTCTAATTGCCGGACGTTGCTCTTAGTATTTTCATTACATCCTTTAGGATGTTATTAGCATTTGAAGTTTAGGAGAAAAAGGGGAATGCCGATTTTAACGAATTTTGGCATTTTTTAGTTTTACATTTACAAAATTTTTTCGTATGCTCTTCATTTCCGTGTGCTCTTTATCACTGGATATGCCGCATTATGAATTAAAATTTTTTGAGTATTGCAATTATAAAAAATTAAAATGTACAACGAAAAAACTCTCATTAAACTCTAAAGAATGAGAAGTATTCGTGTGTTATACATATGTTATTTAAAATTATAAGTGAAAGTTGAAAATGACGCAGAATAAAATGGTGTTTTATTTTGATATATGAGAAGACATGAAGCTACGACATTATGATATCTAAAAACAAATTTGCGTTTTCTGGGAAATACTAAAACTTGATATTCTCTTTTTCTCTTGCCGAACCTTCATTCAAGGTTTCGATAAATTGAGAACTTTCTATTGTTTAGTGTTTGGTGGTAGAAGTTTTTCTTTCAGCAATGCTGTAAAAATATGTATTGATATTTGTTCTATATACAGGATGTATGTATGCTACAACTATTGCCACAATTTTTCAGTGATGATTTCATTCATCGCATTTTACTTCCAATAATCTGACAAAAAAATGTTTCAAACAAAAGTTAATCAGTTTTCAAAAAATTATTTTTTCAATGAATCGTTTTTTTCCTAGAATTCACAGTTTCCAAAAAAATCAATTTGAAAAGAAATTACAAATTTTCAACTTTTGAGATGTTTTGTGCTATTAGAGTAGGAGCTTGTAGATAATATAAAATGATTTTATATAAAAATTAACTTAAAAAACATTATATTTTAATAATCTATTTATATTTACATCTCTGAGTATATAATTTTTTAATATTTTTTTTGTATTTTGTTTTTTTTACGATAAATTATAAAGCATCCTTGGCTTGTCAGGACAAGTATCGCAATAATGAGTTTCGTGTTTTTCTCCTGCTTTGTTGTGTGTACGAACACACCTTACAATCCCTTTTTGTTAGTGTTAAAATTACATGGAGCTTTCCATTTAACCGAATTTCATCACAATTAGCACGTCGAAGCTCGACAGAATCTTTTTATCTCAACCGCAACTCAATAGCTACTACTGCAAAAGCACAAAACATCTCCAAAGTTAAAAACGTAGAATTCTTTTCAAAATTAATTTTTTTGGTTCTAAGAAAGGACAGTTTGGAGATTCGTATTTTGCTCACAAAGGTCTACAAGAATCGCCTATTGAAAGATACAAAATTAAATACGCGTCAAACAGTGTTAACGGAAGTCCCTGAAAAATCGTGACGAGAGTTATACCATTCACCTAGTATAGAGCAATGGTTCATGAAAAGCAAAGATCAATGACAAAACGTGACGCGTAATTGTTCGTTACAAGTGCTTTTGCGAAAGAGTTTCTTATGCATTTGATTATTCCGTTTACGAAAGCATTGGCAAAGCAATTTATAATAATGATATGTATATTGTATGATTCCTTCTGTATTTATTGCGTGTGTTTGTCTTGAATAACTAATCTTACATTTTATTAGCTTTTGTATGATAACTCTTGGAAGACTTTTCTTAGAACAGAATAATGTATGTAAGTACTATGTGATAAATATCGCACTTTAGAGTTTACTTATCATATGTATAAGTAGATTTGTTAATGTGCTTAGGTTTTCTTGGAGGTAAATCATCATTTATTCTTCCTATATTTATTTGTTTTATTAATTTTAATTTTAATTTTAACATTAATTGTTTTTATTTACAATTAAAGAAAATAACTTACCCTGTCAAGCAGCCCGAATTTGCCGAAGTTTATGAAACTTGGCATGATGTTGCTTGCAAGATGAATCAAAGTATCTTCATAGCCCCACAGATAATCGTGAACGGTTAAATGTAATATTGGTTTACTGTTTAACAAGTTTATCAGGCTATTCAAAGGGTAGTTCACAAAAAATCCAGCATCGTGCAGCGTTGAAAAGGCTCCCTGTGAGTGTTAAAAGTATAACAATACATATAAGAAAAATTAGAATCATTAATACAAACAATACAACGAATAAGAATATAGTACGTACTAAAACTATTCAGATATAAGAATCATGGATATATATATGGAATAATGATATTAACTTATTTTATTGATCATGGATTTATTGCATCGCGTGAGATAGTTTTGCATAAATTTAGTGCGCATTTTAAATATCATTTCAGAATAAATAATCATGGATATGTGACGTAAAGAAAATAATTTTTTAATGGAATGACATCTCGAAATTCTATTTGTAATATCGTATGTTAATTGTCGTAACTGACAACAAATAAAATACTATAATTAAAGTAGTAAATCTCCTATGATGATTTATTACTGATTTATTACTGATTTATTACTGATGATTGTTCCTTTTATTAGCGAAAGCTGGATAATTATATCACGGATAACGACTTTGAAAATGTAAAATATCGTTGAACTGTTATCATAGGAATTTTTATGAATCACTGCGACTAATGATTAATTAACATTTGCTCACATAATTATAATAGGAGCATAAATTGATAATTGTAATATTACTTCAATTAAACAGTTTTGTACTTATTCAGTATTTTGCATACTCTTAACACTAAATCAATCTCACGTTAAAGAATATGGTATCGTAAAACTATCAAAGCATTTTCAAAATTGATCATTTCATGTCAATGCTTAAGCATTATTGAAATGTGACCATCAATAAAAAAAATGAACATATAATGTTCTCATATAAACCTTACTATCGGTAAGCTTCTCATCCTATACATTTTTATTAGTATCTTTCTTTGTAGTTGTACACAACCATATTAATTAAATGAACTATTCTCTCTGAAAAACTTTTAGAATTTCTTACTGGAATGATTGAAATGTTGTATGCGAAACCATATTATGACGATCATAATTAATTGATTAATTACTCATACATTTGTAAATAATAACATTATCCATCGATTTATGAATTTAGTATTTACTTACCAACATGGGTATGTTTGGAGCAAACACCGTATCTACTTCCGGATTGCCAATCGACAGTTCTGGTACATACACTATCTTTCTCTTTGGAACGTACGAAATCGTGTTGTTCTCGTACCAAGTGACATTTGTGTTTTCTAAAATTTCTCTACGAGCGAAGAGAAAAAATCAATTATGAATAGTTTGTCAAAATGATGAATAGTCTATCTAACTTATAAAATGAAATGGAAAAGTTTGTATTAATTACTGGTAGACGTAGGGGCCAACTTCTTCAACTTTTAACTTTACTCCGCCTTCAAGAAATTCTTCCGCATTTGTGATATTGAATATGTATATTTTCATGTAAACATCTACGATAGGCTTCCTCCATAGTTCAAAAATCAACGAATTCGGTGTCATTCGAAGTTCCTGAAACAAGTTTTTGCAATTAGCACGATGGTTTGTTTTCAGACAAGCTGAGTAATTTTGTTTCTATGTCTCGAGAATTGTCATAGAAACCTATTTACGAATTTTAAATTACAATTTCTACGAACATGGTATAATTTAGGTACACTTACTTGATCTAATATTAATTTCATTGGATTGATAGTACGTAGAAGGCAAGCCAAAATGCTGCAACTGATGCCTACTGAGAAGAATATTATGCATTCTGTAATAGAAAAGAAAAATAATTAATAAAATTTTTTTAACTTTTTTGTTAAACAATCTTTTTCATAGGAAAACAAATATAAAACTAGTATTTTATGTCTGTCTCTATCTTTCATATGATAAGTTTTACAAAATAAAAGTTAAAACATCCATTATATTAATACTTTTCCGACATAAGTAGGTTAGTCATTTTTTATACAAAATCTTGAGCTGCATCGATTAATGTTTTATGAAATATATGACCCCATTGAAAAGAAAACAAAGTTGACCTCCACATGATCTTTACGCGTCTACCTACAGAAAAACTAATTGTAATATTAAAACATGCCCGCCTTGAAGCCATTTATCCTTTACCTGAAACATTTTTCAATATAATTAATGGTGTCGAAAATATTTCAGCTTAAGGGTAATTCTCGTGCAACACTATATGCAAGTAATTTTTATAAATTTTTTTCGAACCAACTATTGGTTATATAGGGCTAAACGTTTTTGGGATATAAATAGAGAGTTTTAAATGTAATCTTTTTTATTCTAGTTTCTTTTATCGTTTATTATATATTAAACAAGTCTCGTGATCATCTTCAACAATAGTTACGTTGTTGGCGTGCAGAATAGCATGCGTTACTATCATCAGAATGCAAAAATTAAGAAATTTTCTTAAAATTAGATAGCTTATGTGATTGAATCTATTTTTGAAAGATAAACGAAAAATTTGGAAATTCTAGCTTTTTAAAAAAATTGACTTTATTTGGCAGATAAATGAAGTTTATATTGTTCGAAAAAATATTATAAATAAGTAATCAAGTAAAAATTTGAGGTTCAATCCCTGGATTGTAACAAAAATTTGTAACAAAGTGAACGAGTTTTGTCCAAAATTGACTAATCAATTTGCTTTTTAGTTATCGTACACGCCAGTTTAAAAAGTTATTAAACGTAACAGTTTAAAAAGTCAATGAACAATAAAAAGAATTGAAAGGAAAAACATAACATTTTTATTTCAAGACTATATTTACATCCCAAGAACGTCTAGTCCATATAACTAGTAGCTAGTCTAAAAAAAATTCATAAAAATCACTTGCTTTTATTATTGTTACACGGAAATCGTCTGCCAGATAGGTAACTCAGCCTGCATATTACATAAATGTAATAATTTATTACGAATTACAAATTTATTGTTGAATGCCAGAAATGACGATTGGTCCAAGTTCTAAAATTCTGGATTATTTACATATGTCTGTCACTCTACTGATTATGAAAATCAAACTTATAAACATAATTCATTAAATTGGAAGATAAACTAACGAGTACATATATTTACATCATATACAGATTAAATTAAAACATATGATAATTCGTTCAATGATTGCGTTTGAGATATGTAAATAATATATTTCACATATGTAGATAAAAGTGTTGATAGGAGTGCGAGGAGTACAATATACATATCTTCTTTTTGCATTTGTATTTTATTACTCTATAAATATTAATAACAATTCTATCCATTGGATAGTTAATCACGAATAAATCTTGCGTCAATAAACTGAACAAGAAACTGAACAATATCAGATAATTTTCAGCTTTTTGTTGCATTATAACGTAAGTGCAATGTCAAGTAGTTGTCATTTATATTTCTTAATCGAACCTTGAATTTTTTAAACGTCTTTTTTTGACCATAGTACCACCGATGATCAACATAATAACATGCTAGGGCAATTTTGATCTCTTGAATTAACTAAATCTTAAGATGATTATGAATGATACATGAAGAATTTATTATGCAAGTTATGACGCATGTATTTACGTGTATGTAATTTCTCCTTTTAGTACTGGAATTCGATTATGAATTTGATTTTCAAGGAATTCTTTGTATTGGAGAGCAATTTATAGGATGCGCATTTTGGATAAAGTGATTAACGTTGCAAATTTTTTTTGGAACAGATTTGAAATGTCAAGATATAAATATTATTGATAATCGTCAATCATGTTTTACGGTACGTTTTGTGATTCGCACTATCCTGCTTACCTTGACTCAAATTCAACATTAAGTAACATATAAACCTAAAAAAAAGGACCAGTTTAAAAACGATTTCTTCGGTTAGGTGGATGGTAAAAGTATTACGTAAATGGTGGATGGTAAAAGTACGTAAATTGCTGGTAATTCATGGTTTGCTAAAAATTAGGGTGTCCACGAAGTTTCGTATCGTTTTATTGTTACACTGACAAAAAGTTGGACAAATTGAGTCGACGATTCTTCCTGGCGGGGTTTTCTTACATTGTATGAATATGCAGAAATACGTGAATCACGCGCAATACGTTTTATGAGCGATTACAGTGATTCTAGCAAATGAATTTCCACTTGTGAATAAATAACGTATGTAAGTATCGAAAGCATCTCGTCCCGGAATTTAAGTGTTGAATATATGTATTACAGATTACAATATTATTTCCTAAGAGAAATTATTTCATTTTGGAGATTTTGAACGTTTATAGTGATATGTAATGAAATATTTTATTTACAACTTTAGACTTATAGTAATTTACAACTTGATAATTGTAAAAGGTTGTTTGCTGTTTGTTTATTGTAAAAGATAATAAGATGCACTGAAGGTTAAAAAATTTATAGATTCGCTCAATTTATGATTTATTGCTTTTTAAAAAGAAGAGAAACAAAATAAAAATAGTTGATTCCGTTCCAACGAACTCGTCAATATACCTATCCTTTTTACTACGATAGTGTCATTTTTTTTTTTTTTATTACAGACAAATACGACAGACGAGTAAACAAGACGAAAGTTATTTTTATCTAGCCATGGTAACGTAATACTGAAATTATTCTAGATAATGAAGTACTGACTTACTACCAATGCGCTTTTAATATTCTTAAACAAATTAAAATTTGTTTCTCTGGATCCATCAATTTAATTGGTTATTTTCTTAAAAGTATGCAAATTTATAGCTTGCATAATATAGATAATTAAAAATATATTCCTTAGTAGAATAGATATTCATAGTTATTTATTTTAAAATAAGTAAAATTATTATTACTACTGTGTTAGTATTAGCTTCCTAAAGCTCTATAAAACAATATGAGGCATTGTCATGTTTGTACATAGCTGGAGTTGCGAGGTCTCGCGGGTCTGTCTCATACTGTCTGTACTCTGTACTCTGTAGCTACATAGCTTAACAAAACGTAATTGTAACGCGTACCATTGGGAGCTACTGTGTGTATACGAAAATGGTGTGCGTGTTTATTTACAGCGACATAGCGAAAGTAATGTATGCAAATGTCATTATGTATGAGCTAATAATTGCTACGATGGACAGATGTCATTTACTTTTTTAGTTTAGCGATGTGATTTGAATGAAGAACAATTAAAACGATAATCGGTGACAACATACGTTATTACATATGTAATCTCGATATGTAAACCTATCATGAATAGAGAAATGATATATTATATATGTATATCATTACATATTCAATGTACTAATGGAATCAGGATGTTGTGTTTGTTATTGCTATTGTTTTTCACTAAACGCATAAAATTTTAATTTACAAACTAGGAAAATGTAAACGAAAGTTGCATATGCAATATCAAGAATTCAAGAGATAAAGTTTGTCAACTTCAATAGAATCCAGTATTTTCTGCACGGAGTCCTTATTCAACTAAACATAACCAATTCCCAATACAGTAAGAATTAATCCTTGACCTAAAGACTCTGGCCATTCACAAATCAAAACAGTTTGTCGGAAATATCATACCAGCCATTAGTTATGACTATTCACGTATATCTACGTAAAAGTATTATAAGAATCGAAATTTGTTAGTTGTATTGCCATTCATATTGAATCATTATGTCATTTTGTTTCGAATGATAAAAAAGCGATGAATGAACACGTAACTTTTTTTAATAATAATTCGATGTTTTTAATGGAAGAAGGAGGTAAAACAGGAGGAAATTAGTGGAATATAAAGTATTCGAATAAAACGATAAAGACAGAATTATGATGTAGAAGTATTTTAGTCAGAATTTAACGAAGTATTAACAATTAAACTAGAATCACGAAATTCATTATCTCCAGTTCTTCCGATCGAAGTATACTAATTGATAAGTTTGGATTATTTATGAAAGTCTCTGACATGTCGTGTAACATTATGGCGATAAATGTCTCATTAATAAAAAGTAAAAGGTTGCTCTTATTTCAAATATCATACAAGATCTCAAATATCATAGATTTTTTATTTAGTAAAAAATTCAGCGTGACCTACCGATCATTCAAGACAAAGCAGGAAGGTATTCGTGTTGAGGTCAAAATCATGCTATCATATTAACATTCCTTGACTTTCTTTAGAAATGAAATTCAGCATGTACATTTTTCGAAAGTCTCTTACGAAACTTCGGTATTTTATTACCGGTTATACACGTTTGAGTAGTTTTTCAATGGCCGAGAACTTTAAACGGTTACCAAAGTTGATACTAGTTAATATATGTTAATATATGACATCCCGAATCATCGAAATCTCAAACCATTTTCAATAAAGGAACTCTTTTGACGGACAATTTATTAACATTCTATCCGTTAGATGCTTGTTACACATAACAGACAGTTAAAGTAAAATACATATGCATATGTCTCAAAGTTCTTTTATCTACTTTTTGACTTCGTTTAACTCGGTTCTCTTTGATTCATCAAAAATTGTTTTCAAAGCCTCGATTACTTAATATTCTCGAAAAGTGATATGTTTATATCCTAATACTTATGGAGTATCCCATAAAAATTTATGATGTATCCAATGATCATAAATGATTATATAATTATATAACTAATTTAAGATTACGGAATTAACGTCTAGAAACCAGAAATGAAATCTAAACCGTATTTGATTTTTGTCTGACGAGTTAAAACATCAACTATGGAACGCCTAATTGAAAATAATTATTTATACTCTATAAGATAAAAAGAAGAAATAGAGGCTGACAAAAACAACGTCGAAGGAAAACAGGAAAATAAGGAAAAGGTATAATCATTTCGTGCAACACTTCTGATGTTTTTTCCATATTATTATTTTCATGTAATTCATATATTTAGATAATGAAAACATATTGTTAAAACTTGATCGAGGTTGCGATCGAGCATTCGCAGCGAGTAACAAGTTTTTCTACGTTATAGATCGCTGCCTGGTATTAATAGTAACAGAACTAAAAAAATTTCAAATTTGGTTTTATTGAATAGAACGTTTATATTATGTTATACGTCTATATTATATATTACTTTTATCGTGTAATACGGTATATTTATAATTTCATCAGATATGTGTCCTCGTCAAAGGGTAAAATTATTACTTGTGCCGTTATCACCTTGGCCTTAACTGTACAGCAACACTTTCAGTTGTTTTGTGACGCTACAAATGGAAGCTTGCATTGCTTTCGCAAATAGTGGCATATCATGTGTTAAGCAAGCCTTATATGGCCTTACGAAAATTTCTTTGTAAATATTAAAAAACCACTCATTGTTGACATATTTATAAAATACGATATGCTTAATGATACTTATTGATTGACGTATGCATATATACACGTACATACGATTACTCACTTTTAAATTGCGGCAGCGGGTTTGTGAATTTCATGGTTGCGACCTGGTTTTCGCGTGTCTCGTTGCCTTACTTTTTTCTGTCTCCTTGATCGTAAAATTCTGAAACAGAGGGATTGCTTTATTATAGCGCCTTATTGATCAACTCTGTAACCCTAATTCAATAATACGATAATTTGTTTTCATTCAGGTACGAAATAGGAAAGAATCTCTTTTTCTCATAAGAATTGGAAAAATTTTTGTTACAGTCTCATTTTCGAGGTAATAATATTTAAGCATGTAGCACAAGTTTTATTAGTCTTACTATTATATCTTGTTCCTACTGTCATAATTACTAATTTAATATTTTATAAGATAGGCGGAATGTACAAACATACTCATCTGAAGAAGTATACGTTTCGAACATACTATTCTACTAGGAATAATGTGATTATATAGTACGGGAAGTTTAGAAAGACATGTGCAAATACGGTACATATATCTATTCGACAAAGTCTGACTGAGAAAATAGATCTAGAAACATGTTAAAATTACGTTCAAACTATACATATACATATTCCAAGTTTGAAGCGGAATTTCATCTTAATTTGCCAAGGTCATTGACACGTGCGTGTTATTTGCGCAGCTATTCACACACCTATGAACAAAATAACCTTTTTTTTTGGCGGTAGAATTTTTCATCCTCGAATTTTTATTCCTTTCCTGTTTTTCTTATACATATTTAATGTATCTGGTGACTTAGGCGTTTGAATATAACTCGGACATCTACATGGTAGATTGTAGATTTTTATCGGTAATATATATCGAGAATTTGCAATGATAATAATACGACAGTAACCATTTACAGTAAGTAATTGCAGCAACATTATGAATAAAAATGTTCTTCGGGACTTCTATTATTAATAAGAATAATTAATTATTTTATGTCGAACGAACAGCAAAAACAGTTGATAAATTAATTGGACAAATTTTGAATTCATAAGTTAATAGCTAGTGTGTCTTGTAATTTTTAAATGTGAGAGCCGAATCATCGAGATGTCATAGATAAATGATCATCAAAATCAACGAATCGATAAAAGTTAAAAAAGAACTTATATAGACGTTGCTTTGTGATTTAATTAATGCCTTGATCTAGCCAAAACCTTTGGTTAAAAACTTGGGAAAAATTCATATATAATTTATGATTCACGCATAAACCTTCTCTGGTTCGCCTTCTTTTCTTAAATTATTTGAAAAATTGGATGTTTTCTCGCTATATATTTCCTTCAATATTTGCATAAAAGACTCTTTTTTTTTGTTTTCTAGATATGATAAAATATATCATAAAGAAAATGTCATTTCTTTCTGATTTTAAATATTACTTTTTATGTAATACAATCGGAAGATCGTTGAATATGTTCACATCTTGCTTCTTTTATAACTTTTTTCCGACTCTGTGATTAGAATTATATTATAAAACAACCGATATTTATAATTATTTTATTGCTATTAATCATAAACATTTGTGGTTCGAAAATACTATAAATATCACATTTGACGTCAGTTGAAATATTTCTTAAAATAACTCCAAAGCGTAACTAAAAAAAATTTGTGAATAGATAATAAGCATTTCTTTACCGCTGTAAATAGCCCAGTAACTCTGATAATAAAATCCGCCTAGGATATAAAAATGTTCGTTAATATATCAGATAATGGTATGGGATGACATTCTCAAATTTTGTCAGTTTCTTAAATCATATTTTCCTTTTTATAGCCTTTGACGTCATTAAAAAATGTAAAGCTTTTTTTACCTTCGATATGAACTGATGGAATCAGGTAGTCGTTAAATTATTGTCTCTAAAATATTCGCACGCAAGAATACAAATTATGCTTGTTAACTCGTGAATATTTGACAATCAAAATACACTAATAATAGAGTAGGTAATAGTAGAGTAGAGTGGTTTGTATTTCGAGTACACAAATATACTGTGTTTAATTCGGACGAACTAATAAAACTAAATTTAAGTGTTGGGAACTCTGTTAAACATTACTGTGATCTAATTCGTCTAGTGATTTCAACGCCTGGTTAAGAACTCTTTATGTTGAGAAGCATGTACACCAACATTTGTGATCTGGAAACTTGATAGAAGGTTATTTTCCCTTAAACATTTACTATCGAAGTTTCACATTTAGGCAAAACGAGTATTCTAAAAGGATTCAATTAACACCTTTATCCATCGTTTTGAATGTAAAACGAGGTACAAATTCAGTAAAGATATTCTCCACACTTTCCTTAACTAAGGATTTATTCCTTTTTTCCCAGTGGAGTATACCAAATTTCTGACGCTAGTAGATTGAATGTTAAAAATTTCAACGGTATTTAAAACATTATCCTTATTTAGAAAGCAATAAGGAAACAAGATAGCGCAAGTATTATGAACTTACGTAAATGAAATAAAGTCTGAGCACTAAACATGTCTATTGACCACATATTTAATTACATTTTTAAAAGGAAATTTTTTGTTTTGAACACGTAATTTCAAATTAACAGTTTAAATAATTTCAATTTTTTAACAGTTAAATAAATTCACATAATTTTCGAGTTCTGTATTTATAATGATTAATTATGAAATATAACTTATTAACGTAGGCGCTATTCACTCATATTTGTTTATATCCCTTTTAATTTCACAAATGTAAGCGTAATTTTCTAATATCGCGCACAGTTATTAACATGATGACATAATAAACAAGGTGATCCGAGTAGGTGATCTGTCATCTTTCAAGTACGCATCTTGCATTAATATCGAAGTATAAAGCGAAAGAGAGTGCATATGCAGAATGAAACGTGTCGTGAGTACCTATGAAGCATCTCTTGGTGGAATCAGAGCTACCAAGCTGTTCGAAGAAAATATATTCTGCATACTTAATAACTCCAGCATACCTTGATGTTAACAATTTTTATGATCTTTACCCGCTGTTTCTTAGCATAGAAGTTCGTAGTTTCTCGCCTTGATACGACTGTTCTTAGAAAACGATTCATAAAAAGTATATGAAATATATATCTTCATATTTGGAAGAAAATGATTATTCATTATATTGTAAATAATTAGTGGCTTCATGTGAATTTCAATATAATTCTAATTTATTATTTTATCTATCTACACAATGAATCTCTACGAAATTAGAAAACACATTACGTTATTTGAGTGTTAATTAGCCTCATCATTTTTGATTCTTAATTTATTGTATTATTTCGGGTGCCGCATTGTTTTAGCCAATCAGGTAAAACTTTTCACATAATACGACGAACATCTTACCACATGCAAATTTTGTTATTTGTTGCGGACCGACTAAAATTTGGAGAGAATAAAATTGTAGCACATCACTCAAACTACTTTACTTACTGAGTTAGAACTTTAGTTCTAACAGGTCGTACTAATTCGAAGGTATAACGCACAGAGTAACAGAAACAACATGTATCACAGTTCCATCTTTCCTGTGCGATTCGGAATTTCGTTGTCAATAAAAAATAAAACTACACGGTAGTTTGTTTAATGATCAAATTCGCGGCACGAACACGACATGAAAATTCGTAACTACTCCAACAAGACACTTTATATCGTTTGCCACTATACATTCCCTCCCTATCTTGCCATTAGTGAGCACGAGTCTTGTGTTCACTCTGCTTTATACTGTCTCCTGATCACTAACCCCCATACGACGCCAATGAAGACAACGTCTACGATTTCTCTCGTTCCTCGGACATCAATATACTGATAGGGCGCGATGTCTGGTATATAAAAAGTGATATATTCAAAACATCCTGTTAAATGGGAAAATATTCGTAATATGAGCTCAATTTCTAATTTTATTAAAATATCAAATTAATTTCTAGAAATAATTTGCTTTGGATTAAATTTAGAAGACTCGATTCGTAAGAATCTGTACATGTTAAAGTTTGGTATTTTGTGATCAAGTTATTTTTCTTTCTGCAGTGAATTTTAAATCAAATATGACTTTCATCGGTTTTCCTGTTCTTTAAGCAAAAATAAATTATCTTTATTTATACACTGCTGGAAAAAAGTTACGGACTTTGTTCCAACTTTTACAAACAAAGCTTGCAAAAAATTTACAAAAGTAATAAATATTTAGATTTTCTGGAAGAAAATTCTTTGACGCCCTGCTTAATACTGAGCATTATGTAGCATTGGAAATATGGTCAACTTGTTTTTTAAAGTGAAAATTGAATAACATCTCTCATACTAAAAGCAGACTCATTGCTCGATTCAAAAAACGGAAGGAAGGTATTTATCACTATATTAGGAAGTGTATATAATTAGTGAAATATTTGTGGTAAACAATTAGTAAAGAAGTATAATTAGTAAAACATTTAGTTTTATAATATCAAAATAAATATTTTAAATAAGAATATTTAAATAAACACAATTATACATTTATTAAAATAGATATTTTACAATATCAAATATTATTATCATTAATGTAGACAAACAAAATATTTTAAATACTAAGAAATGCACTTTTAGTAAAACCAGAAATACAGAGTGTATCAAAACTGTATGTCGTGCCATTGCAATAACATTCTACATCTCTGGTTTTATGGAGATTAGATAGTAAAAAAGGAACTGCAAAATTAAACACCTTGACCTAGAAATCCAAAGCCGAATCTTTTTGGTCTCTATCATGTTCCATTCATTGGGAAGATAAAACTTGTCAAAAGAACCATTATTCACAGTTGAATCCCTTGAAAAATCCTCTAAATTCTCTTGAAAAATAATATTGAGATTCCAGTTCTTATTGTTGGACTAACTTTTTCGACTCCTTTATATTTTTATACATTCTTTTGAATTAATTTGTTTCAGACGTATAAACGTCTAAAGATTACATAGGTAATCTTTAATAAATTCTCTTAAAAAAATTAAAATATTTTTACATATATCCATGTATCCACGTTCAGTATCCCAGAATGTAGATCCTTCTTAAAAGTATACTTTCAATGTCATTCTTTAATTGGTTCATTGAACCTACCAGTAATTCAGAAGGAAAGGTATTCAAAATTATTGACAGGCCGGTGGATTAAATAATTTGAGAAGATGCATAAATAATCATTCAAGGTTAAAAATCACTAAAATTCATTCTAACCAAATTAACAGTATCAAAATCAAAGAATTAGATTTAATCACGATACCCAATTAGATATAGTGACATAATATTCTAACTTTTATTTAGATATATTTTTATTTATTTATATATTATATTTTTTTATTTAGATGTATACATATAGGGCAAGTCAATAAGCTGTTTAAAATATCTTATTGCTTATTAAATTGAAAATAGAAAGTTTTCTATATAAAATGAATTGCATTTAAAAAGATTGTCTTTAATGAATGCATTTTTATCTATTCTTTCAGATTCTTTGAAACATTGAATAAATTATTTCTACTTGTTTCTTTCAAATTCTAGAGAACCTTAAATTTTCTGGGATAAAACTGCATATTCTTATTAGTGAATCGATAAGAGAATGAATTTACTTGTATCAAGGTGATCCTCTGTTAACCTTGAACCTCAAAACGAAAGTACATTACAAGTGACAATATTAGCTGCTGCAGAAGTGATAAATTTATCGGGAACTCGCCGGCCTTACTTAAATTTTACTGGTTCTATTTGATTTTGATTGTATTTGCTTAAGCTAATTCTACACTGATAGACGATTGCCCGCAAACACGTATCGTAGACAATCATCGTAAAAAATCCGCAAAAAGACAGATACTGATTGGCTGCATCATGTTTCTGTGGACAATTGTCTGGCAATGTAGACAGCTTCACTTGTGAATACAAACCGAACTGTGACTTACTGGAAATCTATATTAATTTTTTGACTCATAATGTTCCACCCATATGTATGTAGTGTCTACGTTATCATGACTTGACAAATTGGACAGTTCATCATTAATACTGGTAACTGGTCTCAAATCTTTTCTCTTTCTAATTATTAAATACATAAAGTATAATCTGTCTAAATTAATAATGAACTTTTAAATTTATTAATTTCAACAATGAAATTTGATAGAAAACAATACGCGATCGTTTCACGACAACCGAAAAGTTTTTATGATATGTATATATGAAAAGGGACCCTAAGGACTCTTTTTAGAGACAATCAATAATATTGCCAATATTTCAAGATTCTTAACGGAAATGCAGTTTGTCAATAAATATTGACAATATTATATTGACAGTACATATTGATCCTTTTAGTTGAGAACCTTGAAATGCTGGCAACATGTATTGATAGCCTGAGGATACCCTTAATGATATAATGATAATCTTACGTGCAGTTCGCTTCTGTTGAAACGTAATTACAACAGATCTACGATAAACATATGTATGTGTTTTCGGCATACCATTCGATGACGTATATTACTTTTTACCACTGCATACGTCAAACTTTTTTCAAGATGTCTGATGATGAACCTGTAAAGGATATAATAATAATATGTATCGTGTTCTGTAAGAATCGCTTTAAAATATTATGTCGTATAGAAAACGTCTAGCTTTAGATTTAAATGTCTTAAATTTAAATTTAATTTCTCTTAAAATCGATTTGAGGTATTTCTGTAGTACCATCAAGAATAACTATTCAACGAAATCAGGTTTTGCTGATATGAGGATTAGAATCTGACATTATGATGGAAAAAGTTCATAAATATTTAATGACGAATGTGAATCTATAATATTTGGTGAAATATTCCACTTACCTGTTAGACAAAGCATAACTTGCTGGAAAATATCAATACTAAATAGTATTGTATAATAATAGTACACCACTTATTTTATTGCAATTTATTCGCAATTATGATCCACTTTAATTCAATTAACGAAATCCAAAGTATTCTGGCTACTTATTGCCATCGATGATTATACTAACACATGTTTTACCGTCTTTAACAGCAAAGATAGTTTATCACTGCACTCTCGATCATAAAGCTAACGAGTCTCTTGACAATGTTGCTAGTTATTGCCGTGAACCATAATAATCAGTGTCATCATTTCCTTTTATTTTCTTGGAGTTTCCCGATAACTTTTGTAGACCACGAGCAACACGAATGCTACTTTCATTTCAATGTTTATACAGTGACATTGTATGTATGCCGGGTTAACGTGTTTTAAAAAATAATTTGTAAATTAAGCCATGCCTGTAACAGCAATACACAGTGTGTTCCATTTATTTGTAAACATGTGTAAATATGTAAATATTTCGAAAACTATGCGATACAAAGAAATGTTTGAAACAAATGCTGCACGATGGTAAAGAAGACATGTCATATCGCTATTTATCTTACTGTGCGACGACCTTGAAAATCTCTGTACATGTCACGTTTATGTTTTTAAACGGCAACTATATTCTTTTATTACATATTCTTGTAGCAGATATCGAAGCGTTTTCAAAACGTTATTTATTTGTAACTTTCTCATGAACTACTATCGAGATACTAATTCTTAAGAAGGATACAAAATTGTATACCTTTTAATGGTAGACGCATAGGAGGAAAAGCGACTAATTGCTTTAAGGATAGAATTTGACATACACTTATTTTCTAGAGCCACTATAATGTACAAAGCCCGACCGAGTAACCACCCCGTTGTTTACAATGGATAACGTTAAGACCCTGATGACGCATCATATTTGAAATTTAATGTCTCGATAGTAATTTATACGAAAGATGCAAGTAGGTAGTGTTCTGAAAACTTTTCGATATCGGCTGCAAGAATATGAAATAAAAAATATAGTTGCCATTTAAAAATAAAGATCTTCATAGATCTTTTTAAGATCATTGCAAAATAAATATCGATATGAAATGCCTCCCTTGATATTATATAACGTTCGCTTCAAACATTTTTCCGTATCGCCTATAGTTTTCGAGAAATTAAGATGTTTATTTAGGCATTTCCAGGTATTACATTTCCAGTTAAATGACACACACTATATGATAAAAGGGACAAGTAGTAGCGGGAAAGTTATTTAAATCGTTGCACAAATCGCGATCGATAAAGCTGGCAAAAACTATTAAAATATGTATCATGGAAATAGGATATGATGTAATAATTTCTAGGTTCGTATAACATGATTAGTGATATTGTATGCATTTAGGAGTGAGAGTTTTCTGCTCCATTTCATTCAGTTTCGTAATAAATAATGTAATTGATTTTCGTAATTTCCAAGATTCGGAGCAGACGAGTAGCGTCACAGTTACCGCAGCAAATTACTGCCGCGTTTGCGTATTTAATTTTTGTTGAAGTCTATAAGAGCGTTTTGCATTAATTTCCCGCCTAAGATTTGCATCCCGCGTGAACTGATTCGCATGAATTTATGCTATCCTCAAACGGCAAATTGTCGCGGAGGTGACACTCGTCTTTACCGAATCTAACTTTTTCTATCCACATATTGTCGCATCATAACAAGGGGTAATAGCTATTATTAGTCTGCGAATGTTTATTGCAATTTGATAGTTTTACGGTAATTAAAGGAATAAACTTTTGATCAAGATTTGTTCTTATTATACTTTACTTCTTAGAGTACTTTTTAAAAATAATTTATACAGCTTTACATCATATGCGTTTCAAATTTCCCATAAATGCATAAACACTCACAGTTTAATTATTATGTTTGCTCGAGTGTCGAGACACTAGATGAACGCAAAAAAGTAATGTACTGGTGACGTGAAATCCGTTGATATATTACTTACTGATACATGCAACTATGATAATTACGCATTTGTAGTTTAACGATCTTGGGACATTCAAATAAAAATCTAAAGGAGAGACAATCTTTACTCTTTTTTTTAGAACCTCTTAGTATCCGGAAAAATATGCAAAAAGTTATAATTAATAAAAAGTAGCAGAAGAGAACGCTGCCTTCTACGATTGCAAGTACTTCCGTCGTTTATATAATAACCGTTTATAAATCTGAGTATTTGCGAACAGTGCATTATGCATTATGGAGACTAATGAAAAAAATGTAACTTCATCACGATTCATATTTATAAAGTAGCTTACATACATACGTATATTACATATATTAATCCTCAATTATCATGTATCTACGTAGATGTGTGACTAACAGCTTTGTTTCGCAGAATTGACTTTCCTGTTATGAAATTAATTTTAACAAGCGTTTCCAAAGAAAAGATGAATACTTTGTTTACTTCTATACATATTCCCAAAAGGCTCTATGTATAAAAAATCTTACGAATATCCAAAATGAAATGTTTTGGTGATATGGGCTTACCGTGGTAGAGAAATAAAGGATCCTTTTCTTTTTTAAATAAAGTAGTTTGACTGATGAAATGTTCAAAAAATGTGCTTATACATTTTTCTGCATAAATAAAAGACAGAAGGACTGATGCAATTTTTTTCGAATAATTTATCAGCGCTAGGATACTAAAGAAAAAAAAAGGTAATAGTGATACGATCATTAATGTTTGCCATTATCAGTGGACGTATCATTAACTGTGAAATTACTGTGACAAAGCATTAATTCAAAACATACATACATAGTATATAGATCGTACATTTCTTTACTGAAGGATATTAATGTTATAATTATCCATGAGATCCATTATGTTGAAGTTATTATGACTGAATGTTGATAATATTGTTTGAGTTCTTTCGTGAAAAGCGTACATCCCCCCTCCCATGACTTACAAACGTGAATTTATAGCGCATATACGTGTTTCAATTGATTTTTAAACGTCATGCAGTAAATACAAAATTGCATTCAGAAAATTTTTAATCAGTATGTATATATTATAGATATGTATGCAACACAAAAATATGTATACATCTGACATAATGATTTGTAATAAAAAGCACTTTACACAAGTGCAAATTTATTTACGTCAATATCCTTAAAAATAATTTTCAGCAAATTAAATTTTGTACTACTAGGAATCATATAAGAAAAAATTATTTTTATTATTAAAAATACATACTACATCTGAATATAGACGTATACTATAAACAGTATGATAAACTGCATGTGACATAAAGTAATAAATTAATTTGTTTATAAATTCAATATTAGTTGTACATATAGATTGAGTATGTTATAAATAATAATTAAACAATATATAAGATATATCTATATATTGGCTTCCATACATAGAAAAAAATTATTAACATTTTATATTTGTTATAGTAAAAAATTTTTTGATAATATGTTTCATAATTACCACTTTTCAATTTAACATGATTTGTTATTTAATTAATTTTATAATCAATCATCAATTTTATAATCAATATAATCAATAGTCAATCTAACATGGATGATATACGAACATAATAAAAATACGTCAAGTAAGCAGTCTTAATAATTCGTTGTCAATGTTTCTCTTCCAGATGATTACGATCTACCCTAACCTAAATCAAGTTAAGATTTGTCAATTACGTGGAAAAATTGTATCTTGCTGTACCCATTTATATAAATTGTTGAAAGGTGTTAAATACTGACTGACATGGTGTTTATAAAGTGATTTATTTTGCATCGTTTTATTTTTTAATGTGAAACGTAAATAAATACGAATACCAACAGTTTTACGTTGATGAAATGGAGTGATTACAAATATATTATATAAAAAGAAATAGAAAATTATGTTATTTCCTGTATACTGGTGATATCGGCAGTATTTCTGGTATTTAATTATATATTTTTATCAAATTTTAGTATTAATATTTATGTACTGATAAATAATCTGTTTGTTTCTAATACGTGATAAAAATACATATGTATATTTTATGAAAGAGAGATATCAGATTGTTATGATTTTTTAAAATGCATATTTAGTTCTCTAATTACAAATAATAACATTAAAAGTTTGTTAATAATATATGATTAATTGCAGGAAGAAAGTGGGTAACATTAGAAACTAATTTATTGAAATGATGATGGAGTTGAGTCATAGTTTGACTCTCAATGAGGATGCTCTTAATCAAATCCCAGAAGCTAAGAGGCCAGTTTTTATATTTGAATGGTTACGTTTCTTGGATAAAGTTTTAATAGCTGCACAAAAGGTATTATTGATTTAAATGATATATTTCCTTGTTACAACGTATTTTTATCAGGCAATATGTATATATAATACATTTGTTGTTGTGAACTTTTATAATAATATATAACTTTCAGAGTGATATTAAGGGATGTCAGCAAAAGCTAGTAGAACAATTAACCAAACACATGCAAGGAGCTCCTGGGCCTCCTACACGAAGACTTATTGCAAGATGTCTTGCAACTTTATTTAGTGTTGGTGATACATTTTTGCTTTTTGATACTGTTAATAAGTGTAATGATATTCTTAGAAATAAAGATGATTCTCCAAGCTTCCTCCCAACAAAATTGTAAGTAAAATTCTTGTATATTTAGTTAGTAATAAATTGTACACATTCTGTAAGTTCTAAAATTTGTTAATGTTTATAGAGCTGCTATATGTTGTGTGGGATGCATGTATGAAAAATTAGGAAGAATGATGGGCAGGTCATATGAAGAAACTGTACAAATATTAATAAAGTCTTTACGTTCTGCAGAGTCACAAACTCGAATAGAAATTATGCATACTCTAGAAAAGGTAATATTTGATATCATACAGAGATTAAAATTATTTTGAAAATTTTACATATATTTGAATTATTAGGTTTGTGCTGGCATGGGATCTGCAATTACAAATGTTCATAAAGAAATATATAAAGTTTCTAGACATTATCTTACAGATAGGGTAATGGCTGTAAGATGTGCTGCTGCAAAGGTATTTTATTATGCTTTATTTGATATTTTGTAAATATACTGCTTAAAATATATTTGATGCAATATTTTCAGTGTTTATTAGAAATGTTAAATCATGCATCATTTTTATATACTACTGAAATAGAAAGTGTTGCTACACTTTGTTTCCGAGCATTTGAAGGTTCAAACTATGAAGTACGATGTGCTGTTGCAAAATTACTTGGTACATTGGTGGCAATGACTCAGCTTCCAGCTCCAAAAGGAAAAAGTCCTTCAGGTATTTTTAATCTGCGCGTTCAATTATTCATTATGCATTATGCGAGAACTATTAGTTATTATTATTATTTTAGTTACACAAAATAAAAATTGTAAACAAATCTCACTTGACGAAGTCTTGAATATTTTAATGTCCGGATTTTTAAGAGGTGGAGTAGGTTTTTTGAAGGGTACTGGAGAAATAATAAAAGGAAATTCTAGTGTTAACAGAGAAGTTCGAGTTGGAGTCACACATGTAAGAAAAAATACAAAAGATAACATCTTATATTCATTTTATAAAACAATCTAATTAATTATTCATTGATATTTTACAGGCATATGTTGTATTTGTTCAAATGTTAGGAGGATCATGGCTTGAACGCAATGTTGGTACATTAGTTGCACATGTACTTGATCTTGTAACGAATCCAAAAGCAGCAAGCTCACATGTTGATGCTGTCTATTCTAGAAAATGTGTTAACTTTATATTACACGGTACTGTAGGGAAATTATTAGGAGAAGGGGCTCAAGCTGCTGCATGTAAAGAAATAGCCTACATTATTTTGAAACAGATGAATTCTATTGGTAAGAATAATTTTTTTTAGTTTTTATTGTTATAGTAATTTAATAGAGTATACGTATATATTTTTTATCTTTTTATCCTAAATTTTTAGATTTTAGTCCAGAAAACGCAAAGGACTGTAACCAAGAAACATTATTCAGTCAACATTTATTAGTTTGTGCACTGCAAGAAATGGGAAATTTGATCTTAGGATTGGGTACAACAGCTTGTAATTTATTGTCCGATCAATCTTTGAGTATGTATCCTACATATATACGATATATACTTACTAATTTTTTTGATATTTATATTAATTTGAATGTTTTTCCAGATTTAATTGATACCATTATGGCTGTTTTGATTCATCCATGTCAAGCAGCTAGACTTGCAGCTTCGTGGTGTTTACGTTGCATTTGTGTAGCAGTACCAAGTCAGATAACACCTCTAATTGATCGTTGTGTAGATGGAATAGAAAATATGCGTAGTTCACCAGAAGCAATAGCTGGATATAGTAGTGCATTGGCTGCAGTTCTCGGTAGCGTTCGTTTATCGCCACTTGGAGTTCCACATACAAAAGGAAAAGTAATTATTTTTAAATAACATTTATGTCCCTTCATGTGATTTTATGATGGTATAGAATTTTGTAAAACAAAAATAATTTTATTTTAGATTATATTTAATACTGCAGAAGAACTTTTGAGAAGCGCAAGTCAAAACAGTCGTTTATCGTTAAACAGAACACATGCTGGATGGCTTCTAATTGGAGCTATAATGACTCTTGGTATAGTAAACTTAAATCAATGTGTTGTAGAACAATTAAATAGTAAATGTATTCGCATCCTTAAAATATTATATCTAATAAAAAACCATGGGTTTAGGAACGGCGGTGGTAAAAGGGTTATTACCTAGAATGTTGTTATTATGGAGAAATTCTTTTCCTCGTTCAAATAAAGAACTCGAAAGTGAAAAGGCTAGAGGTGACGCTTTTACATGGCAAGTGACTTTAGAAGGTCGAGCTGGTGCATTATCTGCGATGCATAGTTTCTTGTTACATTGCCCCGAACTTTTAAACGATGATATTACGAGACGGCTTCTAACACCAATTGAATCTGCATTGGCAATGTTAACGAAGTATGTTATATTTATATATATTTCTAAAATATTTCTAGTCGTTGCTTCTAAAATATTCTTAGTTTAACGTTATATTCAAAATAACATTTCAGTTTATCACCTGTATTGAAAAATTATGGTCAACAATTAAAGGCTCCAGCTGCTATGGTTCGTTTGCGTTTATATGAGACACTATTATTATTACCACCTCAAACTTTTGAAGGTAATGATAAATATTTGTAATTATAAGAATTATGTGGAGGTACTACTTAAAGAAGCGAATAATTGCAAATATTAAACAGGTTCTTATACACATCTCTTAAGGATGTTGGTATCAGAGTTTACATTAACTGAAAATCCTGGAAATACTACAACTTCATTATTGCGTGCAGTTTGTCATGCCAATGATTCTGTAATCCTTGGTACATGGTTACAAGAAACTGATCATCGTACAATTGAAGATCAAGTATGTGTTTTAAAATACTACTTTATAACAGTGTTCTACATACATTTTTCATGTGCTCTATGTGTAGATGCTGTTAACATATCTTTCATATACCATTATTAACTTTTATTAATGTAGAAATTTAATGTAACAACTAAGTGGTCAAACTATAAGGAAATTTAACATATATAATATTAATTGAAATTAACATTCATATTTCCACTCATATCCAGATGGAACCAAACAGAAGGGCAGATTTGGAACATGTGAGTAATGTTCTATGAAGCCTTTCATTATCTGCTGTTCATCTGCACAATTTTCCTTTTACACTTTTTTTTATTTCTTATGAATATTGTAAATTAATTTATAAAATAATGATAAATATTAAGATTGGTAGTCCCAATTTATACTTTGTTTTAAAAACTGTTAATTATAATTAATTTCATGTTCATAGGTTCTATTAAGATAAATATGTTATACTTGTTTTTATTTTTTACTTTGTATTGTTCATGCTATTGATATTAAAAACAATAAAATATAAAAATGGAATTTACTCAATCTACACATATATTGTATTTGTTTCAGCTGCAACCAAATAGCGCTGCAGGGTCTGGAGCTTTGGAACACAATCCATGTTGTCTTTATAGACCTGTACCACAAGTAATGTTTTTTAGATTTTATTAAAAATATAGATTTTTGTAATGATTTTAATTCCATTGTTACTGTTTTAGGACGATATAATTCCTGGACCTTTGCCTTTGGGAGTTGCAGTCATTGATCTCTCTGTATCTCTGTTTGGTCAGATCTTCCCACGTGTAGCAAATAAGCATAGATTGCAAATGTTAGATCATTTCAGTGAATGTATAAAACATACAAAATCTGGTAGACAAGAAGCAATACAGATGAACGTTTTTACGGCTGTGCTAAGCGGATTAAAGGGACTGAATGAAGCAAAAACTGGCTTTGGTCAAGAAGATGTTAAGAAATCTGCGACTAATCTCATTATTGTAAACATTGTCTTATAATAACATTACAGTATATTTCCATTTTATTCGTTATAGAGAACTTAATTGATATTGTTTATATTATAGAGTGCTTTGGTAAGTAGTAATTCGATACTAAGATGGGCAGCTGGAGAAGCTGTTGGAAGAATGGCTCAAGTTATTTCTGATCCCAAATTTACGGCGGAATTAGCACAAACAAGTTTTGACCGCTTAAAATCTGCTCGCGATGTTGCTAGTAGAACTGGTCATTCTTTAGCGTTAGGGTGTCTTCATAAATACGTGGGTGGGATGGGATCTAGCCAACATCTGAATACAAGTGTCAGTATTTTACTCGCACTTGCTCAAGATAATTCATCTCCAGTAGTACAAGTAAGTCTATATTGATATATGTATAGCTAGTTTTAGTTAGGTGCTCTTTAGGCTGCTCTTACATAGTCTTTTATGTATAGTTAGTTTTAGTTAGGCACTAGTTAAAAAAATGTAATTTTATCCTTTTATTCAGGTATGGGCATTGCATGCTCTTGCACTTATAGCTGATTCTGGTGGACCAATGTTTCGAGGCTATGTTGAACCTACATTATCTTTAGCATTGACTCTTCTTCTTAACGTTCCTCATTCTTATATTGATGTACATCAGTGTATAGGAAAAGTATTATCAGCTCTTATCACAACAATAGGGCCAGAATTACAAGGTCCATAGCTTTTACCATACTTCAATTACAAAAGTTTAAATACACATAATGTATATTGATTGTTTGTATCTTTAGGCAATACATCAACGATTTGTATGGCACGTTCATCGTTTTTATGTGCTTGTGCAATTATGCAAGATCATCAAGACCCTCTTGTACAGGCAGAAGCTACAGGATGTCTTCAGCAACTACATTTATTTGCACCAAGACATGTTAACTTATCTTCTCTGGTTCCTACACTATGTGTAAGGTTTACACTACATTTATATTTCATTTGTCCATGTTATAGTTCACTTGTCATAAATGATATAAAAATATTTCTTTATATTGAAATTTATTTTATTTATAGCGAACTTTATCAAGCAATCATTTGCTTCTACGTAAAGCTGCAATCTCTTGCCTTCGACAATTGGCTCAACGCGAAGCGAAAGAAGTATGCGAACATGCAATGACATTAGCTAACGAAAGTCGAGATACTAATATAGTAGAAGGTCTTGTTATAACAGAAACTGGTCTACCGGGGGTCTTGTTTAGTATGTTAGACACAGAAACTGATAGCAAATTAATTAAAGACATTCATGACACGCTAACGAGTATGCTGCAAATTTTAGCAGCAGATCATCTATCTCAATGGTTGTCCTTATGTAAAGATGTTCTTACAATAGCTTCAGGTATTATAATATACTGTAATATGTCAACAAAAATAACCATTGCTAAATTGAATAAGATTAATAAGATATTTATGCTTATGACATATAGAAACATGTAATAATGAAGAAGGAAATACTATTGACGTCGAAGATAGTACTACGGATACTGATAATGCAGATACAGAAGGAGATGATGATCAAGCTGAATTTCATGCAGACGAATCTACAAAACAACGGCCAACTATTACGCCAAGGTGGCCAACTAGAGTATTTGCAGCACAGTGTGTTAGAAAAATTGTCGCTGCTTGTGTAAATAATAAACAAGCGCACTTTGATCTTATCTTAGCGAAAGAGATGCAAACATCTAAGGGAAAAAGTATTAATTCTTCAAATTGTAATATTTTTAAATATAACTACCAACTTATAACTTTGCTAATATTTCCTAATTACAGGCGACTTTCTAGTATTACATCTTTCCGATTTAGTACGGATGGCATTTATGGCCGCGACAAGTGATTGTGATCCTCTTCGGCTTGAAGGATTGAAAACGTTACAAGAAATCATAGATAAATTTGCCAAAGTTCCTGAACCAGAATTTCCTGGACATTTGTTACTTGAACAGTTCCAAGCACAAGTAATTAATTATAAATATAGAATTTTGAGGTATATTTCATAAATATATCACATTATTATTTAATAATTATCACAGGTTGGAGCTGCGTTGAGACCTGCATTTTCAGCAGAAACAGCATCTCATGTTACAGCTGCAGCATGCGAGGCATGTAGTGCTTGGATTGGAAGCGGAGTTGCTAGGGATCTCAATGATCTTCGTAGAGTACATCAGCTACTAGTATCTTCTCTAGAAAAATTAAGGGAAGGACATACACGACCACAACTTTATAACGAAAGTTTGTTAACACTTGAAAGATTAGCGATTTTGAAAGCTTGGGCAGAGGTAAGAAACAAATTGTAATACTATCCTTTCTCTCTTTATACTTATTACTTTCTTCATCAGGTGTATGTAGTTGCTATGGTAAAAGATGGTTCTGCATTAAACAGTAAAGACACATTCAATCAAAATTCGAATCAAATTGATGATGACAATTGTGAAGATTTTGGGAAATTTGAATTTCAAACTGAAAGTTTATTAAGCTTAGTGCAACCAGAGTTATTAAGTTTAAGTCAATATTGGCTAGCTGCCTTGAGAGATCACGCATTACTTTCCTTACCTCCAGGTATAAATAGTTTCCGTGCTGTATATAATATTTTAAATTATTTATACATAGTACTTATAACGATAAGTCAATATTTTATTAGAATTTTCCAGCCAACTACCTCATGATGGTGGAGCTTTTTACACAACAGATACAATGGAATCTGCTCGACCTCATTATGCTGAATCATGGGCACCAATTTTACATGCTGCAACACTTTGGCTTAATGCAAAAGGATTTGGATTAGAAGAGAGTAAAAATGAAGTGGAAGCATCAAACGCAACTAATAATAATAATAATAACAATAATAATAACAGTGATGTCTCTACTAATAATACTACGAATGTTGAACGTTTCCATTTATTATTTGGTAAAAATTCTTCGATAATATTAAATTAAACATTATATCTTATTTTTTAGATAGTTATATTTATTAATTATTTTAGGTATATGTATGGAAGCATTATGCAGCCCTCGTGCTTCGGAGTCAACTCAAAATACAGAAACATGTTTAAATGCATTGTACACTTTATTAGATTCTACTTGGGCTCGTAAAGTTTTAAGTACAGACCGTTCATTACCGATTGAATTATGTAATGTTCTTCACAGGCAAGTCCCTTATTTATATAAATATAAATATACATATTATGATATCTTACTGTATATTTTGTTGCAGGATGCTTTTAACAAGAGAAAGTTTCGTAATACAAATGATAGTAATGGAAGTTTTGAAACAAATAATGAAAGCAGCACAGGAAGATTTGACAGAGAGAAAGAAATCTAAATTGGAAGGTAAAAAAATGTTGTCTTACATATTCAGGGAAATTAAATATACAAATATATATATTATTTTATAACAGAAATAGCACCAGCACATGAAGAAAGCAATGAAACTCAACATGTAGATTTACTAGGGGAAGGAGAAGAAAATGGTGAACTTAATCCTGGAAAGTCATTAGTATTTGCTATTCTGGAAGTGTGTTTGTGTCTTTTAGTCCGACAAATCCCAGCACTAAATCCTAATCCTGATGGAACAACAGCGATTTTATCCCAAAGGGGATATATGCCATCTGAAGAAAGTGGGAAACTCATAGCTGCTGCTCTTAATATAATGGAGTCTCTTCCTACTCTTTGTTCTCCTCAAGGTAAATATATGCTTTTAAACAAAGTAAATATTTATTTTTAACACATACTCTTTTAATATTAGGAGCTGTAGCAATTTTACCAACACTCCTGTATTTATCAACTGGAGTGATCAGAGAAACTGCAGTGCGTACGGACAGTGAATGCAATAAGACAACATCAGATACACCAGTTCATGCAGCTTTACATTGTATAAAAAGTCTTACCACAAATAAATATGCAAAAGATCATAGAAGTCAGGAACAATGGACAAGTCTTTTACAAAGTGCTCTTGCCAAAATCATCGATCTGGCTAAAACCGGTATTTGAAGTTAAAATCACATAAAATTTGTTTTGATACTAAAACATATTTAGCTAATAAATTTTTAAAAATATATTTATAGGAAATGATGAAACGAAAATGGACGAAGTGGCGATGATGTTAGGTATTGCGGTATTTGTTCTTCATGCATCGTCTGAAGTTGTGAGTGCACCGAATTTACAATTTCCGTGTATAAATCATTTTAGACACGCTTTCCAGTCAGAAAACATAATGGTAATAATGTTTCAATATTATGTTATACATTGTTTATAATTTGAGATATTTACCCTTTGAAATTTTATAGGTCAAATTAAAATGCGTTCAAACGTTGAGAACGATATTTTTACATCCAGATCGTGCAATAAGCACTCCTTATATTCATGCATTAGCTCCAAGATTAGTAGAATATCTATATAGTGAAAAGAGTAAACAGATTACAACTGATTTAGAATTATCTTTCACTTTGGAATGTATTAGCACAGTTGAAGCTCTTATAGGACTTGCCGATCTTTCACATCGTACGTATTAATCTGTATTATTTGTATTTTATTTATTACATAACATTTACAATAGTATATCAATATTAGAATAGTGTTATGACAAAAAGTATGTTACATGCTATTCAGGAGATCTTTTACAAGGTTTGTAAAAAGAGAGTAATATATTTACTCTGTATTTTATATGATAAAATGCAGTTTATTTGACTAATTTTAAATTATTTTAAATTTGTTATAATCTTAACATATTTTTATAATTAACTAGGTATACAGATGTTGACTTTACTTGTGCCAATCCTAATTAATTATTTATTAGAGGGAGATCAACTACAACATGCTTCCAAATATCAATTAAGTCTTCATCAACAAAGTTTTCAATGGCTTAATAAGATAGGACCAAAATATCCCCAGGTACTTAGTTCATGTTTAAATAAATTCGTCTTTAAATACAAAATACAAAATAAACATAAATTACTAGTATCTAAGTATTCAATGTTTTATTTTAGGAATTTAAGATGTTAATGTCTCAATCTACAGAACTAAAAACTAAATTAGAAAATGCAGTGAGATCCACTCACCAACAAGCACAAAGACATACTAGACCAGTAGATCTTGTAAAGCCACAGATAAAAATTTCTACACCATCCATCAAACTCAAAACAGATTTCTCAAATTTTAATTGAAACTTTCTATAATCACATTTGACATGTTGTATATTTATTAGGGAAAGAAATGTAGTTTATTTATTTTAATTAAAACTTTTATAGCTTTAACAATTAAATATATGTTACAGTAACAATACAAACAAAATCTAGGCTTTTATTTTTTAAACAAACATTATACTTTTATAACATGAAGAGTAAAAAATAAGATAATGTAAAAAATAGGACATAATAGTGTTTCTAAATAATATACAACATGTTAAAAATAGTGCATCTAATCCTACTGAATAATAATATATCATCATTGTATTAGTTCATTAGTTAACTTCCATGCATGACGTGTGGAACAGATATAAGATATAACTTGATATTATGTGTAAGATAAAATATTTTAATTATGAAATTTTCATAAAAATTTCATTAATATAAGTACTTGTTTCATAGTACTTATTCCTTAGCACTTAGTATTATTTAAGATAAAATAATGATTTAAATATAAAAACATTTAAGAAGATAACATTGGCATAATTATGCAATATATAAGTTCAAAAACTCTTTTTTCATCGTACTAATTTATGTTCCTTAAATAAAAAAAATTATTGCTTTCGCCTCTTTTAGTAAGATTTATATATAAAAAATTTAACGTAATTTTGAAAATGTATATTAAAATTGTACAATTATATTTATTTAAAAATGTAAATTGTATTTTGTAGAAAATTTTAATAATTCTCATAATTTTATTGATATCTTTATAAAAAATTGAGATAGTAGGGATTACATCAAAGCACAATAAAAATTATGTAAAGTAGTAGAAAAGTGTAAGTATTTTATATTCCATAACTGAAACAATAAATTTTCATAAATTATTTTTCATACAGTTAATTTTCATATCATATAAAACTATAATATTCTGTATTATTAAGTAAAGTTTATTTAAAAAGTATTTTATATTTATTTAAGTACAATTTTGATACCTTAAAATTTGTACAATATATAATTATATATACAATATATAATTATTTACAATAATAATTATATTTTACAAACTTTAATTTCATACAGTGATACATAATAACAAATATAACAAATAGTTCAATTTTTTAAATGAGTAGTATAAATTTTCACTGTCTAATGATCTGTAGCATTAAGATAGATATATTAAACTATGTATACTGTCAAATAAATTAATTACATAACAAAGAGCAACATTATATGTGTTATGAAATAATATAATTTATATAAAATTATGATAATGAAATAGAAAAATATTTGAATAAAATATAATCATTATATAAATGTAATATGAAATACTCCTTTATAGCATAAATTAGGTAATAAAATATGAAAAATATGTTATATTATTATTAATTATTATTACTATTATCGCAATATTAACTTTAATATCTGTAATAATCAGATAGAAATGTATTAGATATTATGTATTAACTTTAATATCTGTAATAATCAGATAGAAATGTATTAGATACGATATCAGAAATTATCAGATATAAGCAAACAGACAAACTTAAAAATACATTAAAAAGTCCTGTATTGCTTTACTATAAATATTTTCAAAATATTACAATAATAATTAAAATTTTAAACATACAAACTTACTTAATTAATACTACTTAATAAAATACTTACTTAATTAAAGACATTTAAAGAGATTAATACTTACTTAATAAAAGACATATGTTGAAATTAAAATAATATTTATGTTCATTTAAATGTCTATTTTTCTATATTACTTCTATGTATATGTGTATACTTATCACACTAAATTTTGATGTAAATCTTACAAATATTATGCTCATTTTGTTTCTAAAACCAATTATAACTTATATTGAAATTTTATTTATAATGAAATATTCAATAGAGCACTATGCATTTGACATGTATTATAATAATAATGAAATGTATTTATATTGTATTAGATGTTAGATAATACAAAGTATTACATTAAAATTTTATGCTTTACAGATATATACATATGTAAATTATGAAAATAAAATATTAATTGTGTACAGTTACATCTTACATTAATTTCTGATATAATTTGGATATTTTTAAACATAGTATAAACCTTTATTAATTAGGTAAATTAATAGAGTTCGATTCAGTATCTTTAATAAGTTAATCGTATTGTTGCAGAAATATCAAATGAATTAAAAAATCCTGTTATTTCATCAAGTTGTATAATTATTTATCAGGTAGAAATAGAGGGGAGTTCCAGAAGAAAGTAATCATTGCGATGAGAATAGTCTGTTAGTCAGTTCGCATAAAGTGATCTGTCGACTATATACCATTTATTTCATTGAGTTAGGTAGTTTATGTGCTAGTGGTTATTTTAACGACTATAATTCCAAACAATATTGTGCAAATTATCAAGTTAGAACTATTGCGAAGTCATTATTCTACCGTCTGTGAATATTTATGAAAAATGGTAAAAACAAAAAGATTCATTGTAGCAAAACATTTTCAAAAGAATCCAGAGCCATCAGATTTGCAATTGATCGAAGAAGAATTACCTTCTCTTCATAATGGAGGTAAAGATTTTAATAATAGTGTTGTATATGTATCGATTAGACAAATGAAAGTAGATGTCACACGATTTGTCATTAATCAACATTTAACATTGATAACTATGTATTTTTTAAAATAAAAAACTAGTTATATCGATATTCTTACTCATTATACTCATAAATTCATTATATTCATTGTTTATGATTACATTTTTTTTCCTGTAACATTGTGCAACAACTTCAATGTCAAATGATATAAGATGTAATTATGTATTTATTTAACCCTCGACTCGTGACTGGACTGAACGGAGGTCACGATTAATGCTTACGCGGCATTTATAAAATATTGTCGACATATCCATTATCCTAAAATATTTTTTAATACACATTTTTCTGATGATCAAAATGGAAGATATAAAACATCACTCAATAAAAACATACAAAATATACTCATTACTTTGAATTTACAGAGAAAATTAAAGATTATATTTAGAAATATTCGTTTATTATTGATATGATTTTTAATATATGTACATTTCGTTGATATAATAGAAAAAGGAAAATATTATAAAACATTATTCAAAAATAAAAAGAAGAATACAATAAAAATTTATCTATGAATTTTAAAAATGGTACAGATAAACATTTTTTATATAAGAATTTTTTATATAGTGAAACTTGAAAAAACGTTTTAGAAAATAACGTTGAATTGACGGGATGAAATTACACAACTTATATAAGAAATACATGCATTGTACATGTTTCCAACGTCTACATTGTATATTGAATAACTCAGTAATCTATAAATGTTATAAATAGAGAAGAGTGTCATACAATAATGGATGTTTTAGCTTCTAAATGACATCATTATTCAATATATTTTATTCTTACGGGGAGAATGTTTTTAACGTGTTTGTACGTATTTCGTAACTATCGCGATTCCGTAGGGTCAAATGAGACAGTTATGATATCATTATCAGCCTACAGACAATATCCCTTGTCATATTATTGCATAACAAATTTAAAATAAATCTTGCATTAGATGATTTAATATCTTTAACATTATGATTATCATACTATTAATAAGTACTAATTGTATGCAAAAATATTGACATTAAAAATAAAAGATAATAAGAAATAAAAATATATTCTGTGTATATTTAGTATTTAATAATATTGTTAAAAAATTAAATATTGAAATAATTGTAATGTTGTGGAATAAATATATATATACATATAATGTCCTAAAAGCTGAATAACATATGATTTATGTTTTCAGAGTACCTTGTTGAAGCAGAATATCTCTCTGTGGATCCTTACATGCGAGTTTATATTCAGAGATATCCAGTGGGTGTAACAATGATTGGTGCACAAGTAGCTAAAATCATTGAATCAAAGAATCCAGATTTCCCAGTAGGAAGAAGAATTGTTGGTTATTTGGGGTGGAGAACACATACCATTATAAATCCACATCGTTCATCTGAATATGAATTCTTAAGCCAAAAACCAACACTGGTACCTGATATTGGAGATCTATCACCATCACTGTATCTAGGAATTTTAGGAATGCCAGGGTAATAATTACTACATCAAGTGTATATTTTGTAATCTGATCTGTTTTTATATAATTTTTTATAAATTTGACCAATATGATATATTTATCCATTCTAAACAATTTATTCAAAAGTTTCATATTTTCTATGCCAGAGCCACAGCATATTTTGGTCTTCTAGAAATTTGTAAGCCAAAACAAGGCGAGGTTCTTGTTGTAAGTGGAGCAGCAGGAGCTGTTGGTTCCATTGTTGGTCAAATAGGAAAACATGTTTTTGGACTTACTGTCATTGGTATTGCTGGTTCAGATGAGAAGTGTAAATGGCTTGTAGAAGAACTTGGTTTTGATCATGCTATTAATTACAAAAAAGACGTTGAAGTTGCTTTAAGGAAAGCTGTGCCAAAAGGAATTGACTGTTATTTTGATAATGTACAGTTCTCTAGCATTATAAAATAATATCAAAATTTTGTCACAACATATTTGTTTATTATGATTATGTTATAATAACAGGTGGGAGGAGACATTTCCAGTATTGTTATATACCAAATGAAACCCTTTGGTCGCGTAGCTGTATGCGGATCTATATCTTCGTACAACGCAGATTCATCATCGCTACCAAAATCGACGATTCTTCAACCGTCGTTTGTGTTTAATCAATTAAAGATGGAAGGTTTCGTAGTGACTCGTTGGGATAATCGTTTTTCAGAAGCCACAAAAAAGAATCTTCAATGGATACACGAAGGGAAGCTTCGCTATCGTGAAACAATTACAAAAGGTTTTGATAACATGTTTGATGCATTTGTTGGCATGTTACAAGGAAAGAGCATTGGCAAAGCTGTTGTTAAAGTTTGAAGGCTCAAGAAAAGAATATTGTAATTTGTTTAAAACTACTTGTATACCTCTCTAAAATATATATATTTTATGTCTTAATTTCATAATTTTGATTATAAATCCTCGTTGTTCATATAGTAATTAGTATAGACAAAAGATACAAAGTAATTAGCATAGACAGTTTTATTGCAATATATTACACAGATCATAATGCATCACAATGAATAATTACATTTGGTTTTTTTGATGCCCGAGAGCATGATCCTTAAACCTTAGGTACATATCTTAGTTATCGTAACGTTATGTCTAGTACAACCTTATACGATACCTTACTGAAAATTACGCAAACTTACATCCATTTCTACTTACAATATAATACATTTCTCGATTTAGTGGAAATTCCATTATACCGAAACTTCCTCGAGAGATAAAAATTTACACAGAAATTTCAATAATTTAAACAGAAATGTATTTAAATTCAATTTACATATATGTTATTACGGCAAATATTTCTGGTGATACAAATTAATTTTTATAATTACATTATCAAGATACCGTTGATGTTATGCCATAAAGTAAAAAGTTATTCAGAAAATATTTTGAATGTCTCATAGGACAGTACCTTTTATACAACTCAATTTCTTATCTTCAAGCTTTTCTTCGTAGATTTAATTTATATATGTTATAAGATCCACTTTCGCGAATCGAACATAGTACAATGGAACATGTATACAATGCTGTCGCAAAATTGTCGATGAATTAACTTTGTTCGTTCATTTTGTCTCTTAAAAATTATTTAGACTTGAAAAATTCGAGGCGCGATAAAAATCGGGCATTCATTTTATGCAATTTTAATAAACAATGTAAGGCATAATTTAAGGAAACTTTGCTTATTTGTTTAAATATTTTTTTCTTTAATTATAAAACTTCTCTAAATTTAAATTGTTTGTTCTAGGAAATTATTTTGTCACAATTCTGTTACGATTTTCATCGTGTCATATATTTCTGATTGTTTTACATCATCTAGTTATTGGAAGATGTGTTCACAGATCGCAAAAAGTAAAATTACATCTACACAAAAATGAGCTTCACCGTTAAAAAAGATAATGTTGCAATTGCTAAATACAAAGATTGTATTACGGTTAAAAGATTGGAAATCATTTAAAAGCTCTAAATCTTAGGATACGCACAGGAGAATCTATCACTCTCACGAACGTTTTTTTCAAGTTCCATAAGAATATCACGGATAAATTATAGAATGCTTTCATACATTCAAGGTCACTTTAACTGCAAGTTACATCTACCAAACATGACTCAATATTGCTCTTTATTCCTTTTTCTTATATAATGTATTGGTATATTAAAGATTCATAGTCAATTTAAACGCAATCTTTTACATTTCTCAATATATAAAATAATTAGATGTCATAAATAACTTAGTGACCTCGACCGATCAAAACTTTTATCCTCAATTATAGTCTAAATCGTCGAATTTTCTCCTGTGAGTCCCGAATCTGTAATGAACCATTATTATTTCATCGAACAGACACATTTTGATTATGATTTAAGCGGTAGTGAAACTTCCTTTGAAATTCACCAGATGTGTTTTTCATACACTTTCACTGCCTGCTAATTGTTCGTCGTTTTTAATCCTGAATCATGAGTCACGATCGTGTCTCATCAAACGAACACGTTTATATCAGGATGTTCACTGGAATTTCATCACGTGACATTGATCTCCTCGTCTTCTTCGTTCTCTGTTTGCTCTTCCGGCCGTTGAGGACTCGTTAAAGGACTCACGTCGCTCAAGTCCATCCTCGGCCTGTCTCCATCCGCGTCGCTTAAGTCAGGATTCGGATTGTTCTTGTTTGGCAATGTTTGCTCTCGAGAACCTCCGGTTGCTAGCAACTCTCTCTCTTTGCTATTCCTCCATTTCATTCGCCGATTTTGGAACCAAATCTTCACCTGCAAATTATATTCGTAATTCGAAACATGTTCATTTTGGATGATGATGTACAACTTACTTCAATAACGTAACGTTCGAATGACAGAAGATACGATAGACGATTGATCGAATTGCATCATAGAACGATCAGTGGAGAAAGGTGTAATAAAATGTAGGTGTGTTAAAATTATATTGATAGACAGTTTGTCTAGAATTAATTGTCTATCATTATTTTTACCGCAGCAAAAGTGAAAAAAGCGATTTTATATTAAACAGGGTCATCTCGAATTTCCCCCTAATGACGTCGAAGAGATGAGTTCTTCGTGTTCTTTGCCTTCTTCCCGATGAACATTAGATAAAAATTGGAAGAGAGATCGGTAGTTTCTCTTTCTATTAACGTATTGATGATGTCAATCCTACATTTACATCAAATTATTCAAATTCTATCGACTCAATAACGATGGACGATTACGAACATTACCTTTTAAAATATGCCTTAGACTTTGTAATCACTTACGTGGAAAAGAACATAGAAATAACTAGTTCCTCGTGTAATTTTTCTTTTTTTTTTGAGATACTAATTATCATTAGATCATGCATGCTAAATTTGAAGCAGTAGAAATGTATATAATATACGAAGATATATAAAATACGCGTAGTAGAGAACAAGATATAATTTTTAGTAGCCGAAACAAATCTCTACTGAGGTTCCTTTTTTTCACTTTGTTCATAAAAAATGTGAATCTGTCTAAAAACCTACAGTCTATTGGTTAATTACGTACTTGGTTAATGAAAAATTCATAAAGAGTGGCGTTGATCGGCTTGCCCTCTCAGAGATTCACATCTTAATACAATAAGTATTCACATATATATATATATATATATTTCTCTCCAGCTCTCCTATAAACGTGGTAACCTGCGAAATGGAGATGGGAAGAGGGTGCGGCGTGATTTTCGTAATATTAAAGACCATGCATTACCGAACCGTTGAACGGGCCAACGTCAAACGCACATGAACTCTGAAAATTTTCCACCCTTCCCATCCCTTTTCCGCCGAGTTTCGCCTTCGTACCACCCTTCCTTTTCTCCAGCCTGATCCTGCTCGCCACTTTATTATAGCCTTAAGCTACGTCGAAGCGTTGACCCTGGGGCCGTGGATTGATTTACCTAAACCGCTTTTCGAATTTTCATTGGTCGCCACTCCGTGCAAGAGTGCCTGTGAGCCTAGTACGTGAATGCATTTGACATCTTTGCTGGATCTTAAAAGTTCTTTTCAATTTGCCTTTGGGGCTTGCCAACAAGGCGTTAGACCTTATGTAGAATCGACTTTATATTGTATTTCTCGTTCTTGCTCCTACTTGGTGAGACGGAATCCGAGATTTTCAGCTTACTTTGGATTTTCGTTTCGTGAAGCAAAGAAATCGCGAAGAAAGATGAGTTATTTGAATGGGACCGTATTAAAACTCTTTCAGAATGAATTTTTCTTTTAATAGCGAACACGATTGTATAATACTGTGGGCTATGTTTCATTCGAATTTGGAAAAGTTATAGGTTCAGCATAATATTTAAAATGGAATATGTAGTTGCATTTGCGATGGAATCGTATATTTCTGTGAGAATGTCTCAATGTAACGATCTTTTTTTTTTTTTACAAAGGAGTTTATTGAGTCCAGAAAATACAGATTTTAAATGCATTATTCACAATAAACATGAATCGCATTATTCACAATAAACATGAATCGCATTATTCACAATAAACATGAATTGCATTATTCACAATAAACATGAATTCAATGTAACGATATCATGATGGTTAGAATGATCTAGCAGTTTTTTCTAAAAGCGACCAGCTTTAATTGTCTAACATCGTACATCGTACAAAAATCTTGTTCCATGGCATAAAGAAACACGAATTTAAAAAAGACACACACAGAAACACTAATTGATTTCATCGTTAGCAATTATGTAATAGGAAATAATTGGTAATGTGAAATCGATGGAAAAAATTCATTGTTCATACGTTTTATAATCGGTTGTAATTTAGGATGATATTACGAACGATTTTGCACAAAGTATCAACAACTTTTGAAATCCGTTCAACAACATTATCTGCACTTGACGTTCGCCCCGTCGTTATTAATATTGCTTGGCTTCAGTGGTAGGGAGGGTGAGAAATTGATAAAAAAGTTTATTATTCTTTAATATCTCGTCGAATATTTTATGAAACTTCGTTCACGGACGTGAGCATGCATCTGACATACTGAAATGTGAACGATTTGGATGCATCATGTTACCTTTCATCCTTTGAACTTTCATTTGTTGAATTTTTTTATTTTTACCTTTTTTTCATTTGTTTCGATTCCTTCTTTTTTTTTCTAATAGAAATGAGAATGAATTTTAATAGAAATTTTTAAGTAGAATGAAGTTTGCGTTATTGATAGACTCTATATTGGTAACGAGCTCATTCCGACGGTTTCGCTGATGGCAATCGATCATTTTCTAGATTGGGTATTGAACATGTGTCTAGGTAAGGATTTTTGCATCAAAATTTTACATGGAGTTAGTTTGACTTAACGCGGATATTAATGAGAATCTATATACATATAATATGCAGTCGGATGTTTCAAGCTGCTGATTAGATAAGTTCTTAGAGTTCAGAGTTCAGAGTTCGTTATTGCAAATCCGTTTTAACTAGATTGATTTCAGTTTTTTGTAAATATAGATATGATAAAGTATATTCTGAATGCAACTACCAGTCTACTTAACAGTTAATAGTCATTGAAAGAATAAATTTTAAATAGGACTTCGAACTTGTTTTTAGAAACTTCTTTTAGAAAAATATTTTATTTTCAAATATAAAGCTGTACTTCCTTTCATATTAAAAATTCAACTTAAATTAATTATGTTATATATAATTTATAACAGGGTAGTTGGTAACTGGTGGTACAAGCGGAAAGGGGGTGATTCTACGCGAAAAAAGAAGTCGGAAATATAGAATAAAAATTTTTTTTTTTATTTCTTTTCTTTTTTTTAAATTTTTCCATCGAGACAACCATCTACAATGAGATCCGTTATAACGTACCGCACGCGAACTGAGCGAAAATTCAAAGTCGATTTTCTCGAAAACAAAGCCTCGAACGAAAAATTTTTATTCTATATTTTCGACTTCTTTTTTCGGGTAGAATCACTCCCTTTCCGCTTGTACCACTAGTTACCAACCACCCTGTATAATACATAATATATATATATATACATAATATATAGATATATTATAATTATATTTAATATAAAATAGTAATACATAATTTGATCAATAATTAACTATATATGTATATATTATGTATATATTATATTAACACAGTTAGAGCAACGACGAATTGAAACTTTCACCATGCGTATAAAAGTGTGAAATTGAACTTATAGAACGTTAAAGAGACAAAAGAAAGAAACGCGAGTTAGATATGACGGATTAAACGCAATAGGAGAGGCGAGAAAATTACATGGATCTGCCAGGGATTAATTTACACAAATTGTTTTCGTATTTTCATTCGGCAGGGTGTGTGCGCTTGACAGGATGCAGAACCCTAACGATTCGACGCGATAATACGCTCTTTAGCAATAGGGTAAACGCGCGTTATATTCTCAATACCGCGGCTGGCCCATCTTTGTCGCGAAAACACCATTGCACGATCGCCATGTAATTGCGCTGTCCACGTAGTTCATTGAAATTGAATGAAAAAAATGTTTGAAAAAATATTGAAAATTTTAGACGAAACTATTTGAAGAAAACAAATTTTTATTCCGCTTAAAGCAATTGTAGTAAATGATTTGGTAACAATAATTTTTATACTGTTTAAAATAATCAAGGAGTTACTCTTGGGATTATTTAATAACATTTTGATAATTTCGTATATTACATGAATTTACCAATTTAACAGACATTTTTAAGTACCTAATAATTATTCAAAGATCTTATATATTTCTATATTTTAATAACTGATATAAATTGTTCTTTGTAGATTTGGCGAATGATTTTATGGAAATGAATTTTTGTGGCATTTAAAGTAGCCAAAAGATTAATCTTAATCGTTCCATAGTATTTTAATAATTTTCTATTATATATTATACATTTTTACATTCTAATAATTGCTACAAATTGTTCTTTATTGATTCTGTCATTTATTGCTTGATAATCCATTCGTTTAAGTACGATCTACAATTTCGCGCGAAATTTCGCAACGTTTAACTTGACAGCGACGTTTCAACGTAGTGCGTAAAAATTCTGTTTAAAAGCTTTTGTTTTTTGCTTGGTTAATTAAATGATTTATAATTAATAATTTGCTGCTCGTTTAAATGAAAACTTCGCGTAGATATATTCAGGAAATACACGCGTCGGTGAAATTGCCTCTTTTTTTTCACGAGGGAAGTGTAAATCCGGGAAATCGGACGAGCGGATGAAATAAACGCTCGAGCGTTCGCTCGTTTAAAAGGCAAAAATCCCTCGAAATCCGATGCTTCCTGCGAACGAAAGAGATTAAAGAGGGAGGTTAATATCGAGCTCAAGACGTTGCTCGCTTGGGGTTGAACACTCCATCCGAGGATCCTCGAAAATCAAAAAGAGGGGATCGTTTCACCTGAATATAAATATTAAAAAAAAAAAAGAAGTAGAAAGTCATTCTCATTAACCGCTTTAACTTTTATTCTTCGTTATTTCATGTTTAATGAGATTCCTTTTAATTAAATAATCGTAATGGAATTTGGAGGATGAATAGTAAAGAGGATTAATCGCGTGTAGATGTAATAACAGAAGCAAAGAAACATATATATTCCAGAATATTTCAAATAATCTCTAAACATTTTACTCTATCTTTGAATAAATTTATTCGTTGCTATTTGATATTTAACGAGGCTTTCTTTTTAATTAAGTAATTGTGAAAACGAATCAACAAGAAAATCTTGGGAAACATAGATCATCTACCTAACACTAATTAATATAATATTAAAAGCAAAGGGAATTTTG